TGGGGGGGGGGGGGGTGGCTCTGGGCTTATGTAACCCCTCCCCTCCCCTCCCAGCTGTCTCATGGCTCTGCCCCAATTAAGCCTCATTTCCCTAATGACTGGCCAGGCTCCAGTGCCCAGCTGGGCAGTTATGGTGGGGGGCACTCCCTGACATTGGCGGTGCAGGGCAGCCCCTCCGGTGGGGGCAGAGGGGAAATCTCCTCAGACACCTGGGTCCTTTTCTCACCCCTGCCGCGTGCCTGGGGTGAGTCTGGGCCTAAGCCATGCCTCAGTTTCCCCAGCTACTGCCCTGGGGTGGCAATGGGGAGGGTTCTGTTCCCTCAGCCCTATGGCATTGCCATAGCAACCCACTGCCTTCACGCTCTAGTTCCCAGCTCCTGCTACCACCTCCCCCTGCCCCCAAGCTGGGGCAGTTGCCATGGAAACCCCACGAGGGAGGGTCCCCTAGGGGTCCCAGACTCTTGCTAACAAGCCCCAGTGGGAAGTGGGGGGGCAGCGCCAGCCCCTCCCCCATCCCAGGCAGCACTGGTCCTGCAGGCTCGCACGGGCAGTTCCAGCACCTGTTGGGCTGGGGGCACTGGTGGGCTCCCACCCCCCTGGGCACCGTACAGGTAGGGAGATGGGGACAGTGCCCGGCAGGGAGGGGCATGAGGCTGACTCTCCAGGCTGGGTCAGACCCCCCAGGTTGGGATGGGGGGCGTGTTAGGAGTTGCACAGACCCACCCCCAGGCCTGGATCAGGCCATGCCAGGTGCTGTCCAAACCACCCAGACCAGGATCAAGGGGTGCTAGGAGCTGTCCAGATCCTCAAGGCCGAAATTGGGGGCTGAGGCTGACCCCAGCTCTGTTTCCCCCCCCCAAACAGGAACCACTGCCCGTGGCAGCACAGGGAGATGCCAGCCCAGGTAGGAGGGGATGTGGCAGTGGGCAGGGGGACACTAGGGGTTTGATGGAGGGGTTCCTGAGTGGGGGGGTGCTGGGTTCACAGGGTGGGGCACACTGGTGCTGGAGGAGCCATGCTCATGACCCCTGCTCTCTGACCCAGGTGCTGAGGCCAAGGGGTGGCAAAGCCCGGGCAGGGGCGCTGTCCCGGCTGCTGCGCCCTCTCCGTATCCTGCGCTCGCCTGGGCACCACTACCAGCCCCTGCCCAGTGCCTTCCTGGACGATGCTGAGGCCCAGCGCCGCTACACCCAGCCCCATGCCCTCATGCAGGTGTGTGCTCCCCACCTCACATTGCTCTAAGCCCCTGGCACCTGGGCCCAGCTGCTTCCGCCAGTGCCAGGCAGTGCTCATGCACGTGTGTGTGGATGTGGGGGGGGTGGGAGGGGCTTAGCCTGTGCCCCCTCTGGGATTGTCCTAGGCCCTGCATGTGTCTGTTCCCCGGTCCCTAGCCTGGCCTGTCCTTGCGTGTGTGTGGGGGGGGGGTTAGTAGAGGTAGGGAGGGAACCCAGGCATCCAGCTCTGACCATTTAGCTGTACTCTTCCCAGCTGAGGGGAGAGAGCCCAGGTGTCCAGGTCCCCAGTGCCTGTGCCCCCAGGTCTAACCACTGAGCTCCACTCCCAGAGCCATGGGGCCCTCCATCTCCTTGGTCCCGGGCCTCAGGGGAGCAGGGGGCAGAATGGTGAATAGGGACCATGGGGCTGACACCACACAACCCAGGCAGCTGCGTCTTCTTTCTCATACTTTCACTTACACTCAGTTGTGCATGAGTCACCTGTTCACACCGTCTCACCTCAGTTTGCATGCACATGTGCACACATGCATGCGCGCACATATATGCTCTTGGAGGATCCTGTTTTTGCGCACACAGTGGTACACCTACCTGGCCAAAGCACATGGGGGCTCACAGACCCTCACCCATGCGCACGCACACACATTTGTGCACACGCCCCTGCCAAGGTTCACATGTGTGTGCACTCACATGAAAGTGTATGTGGGCACTTGTGCACACGCATATACTCGTGTGTGCACATGGACTGGTGCACAGCCAAATGCTCACACTCTTGGTTGCACCCTCTCACCAATGTGCACATGTACTTGCATGCTTCTTCACACTTGGCAATGCATGCACATGTGCATGTGCACACACATACACCCCCCCCATGCTCACATACTTGTATGTGTACAGATACACTGATATGCGCACATATGTGCCCATAGGTGATGGGTGGGGAGTGCACAGGGCACGTGCCCCCCCAGATTTCTGTGCCGATGGGTGTGGGGCTGTAGCCCAGCTGGAGCTAGCACCTAGCAGCAGTGGGGGTGGTGGTGGCATCGGAACAGAATTGAGCCCGACCCCTCCCCCCAACACAAGCATTTGCTGTGTGTGTGCTGCCCCTTGTTCGCGGATGCTAAGCTGTGAGTACACACATGCTTATTGCTGTACATATGCTGGCACGCACAAACATTTGGCACATTGCACCCACAAACACATGTGCATGTTCCCCAATGCACAGACCCCTATACACTTTTTGAAAAGCATATGCACACTCCCACAAACATGCGTGCAGACTTCTGTCCAGCTATGCTCATGCATTCATTGATGTGTGCATACCCATGAGCTCGGTCACTCACCAATGTGCACACATTTACACACCCTTATCCCCACCCTCATGGGTACGTCTGTGCATGCAAATGCTTTTTCATATGGACTTACCCATGTGTTCATACATGCTCCCCATGGTGCAGGCATGTGCACACACATGCACACATGCATTGCTGTTCCCACCTACAATGCATGCCTGCCTGCCAATGTCTGTTCATGCATGTATGCACACTTGCTCATTTACACATGCTGTTCATGGCTTGTGCATACACATTCATTGATGAATATATGTGCATGTGCACACACTTGTTCATGCACAGTCACTGATGCATGTGCACACATACTTGTTCACACATGCTCACCAATGTGTGCATGTGTGTACTGGCATACTTGTGTATATACACACACCCATGTGCTCACCAATATATGCATGCTTATGTACAGGGATACTTGTGCACACACATACATGCTCACTGATGTATGAACCCATGTGTGCATATGTGTTCCTGCACACTCCCCTTGCATATGCACATGTGTCCATGCTCCCACCTGCCCATGCCTTCTTATGAGGGGCTGGGGGCTTTGGGAGACAATTATCCGGGATAATCTTTATGCAGATTATGGGATCGGGGGCTGGAGCAGATTGGCTGCTGCTGCTGGTTATTAAATATGGATTTGGACCTGGGGGGGCGGGTGTCTATAAAGGGGCCAGAGCTGGCACTGGTAGGGCAGGGCAGGACAGGGCAGGGGGCTCCAGCTCTGGTGCTGGCCCGATGACAACATTGGAGGCCAAGGCTGAAGAGGAGAAGGCGGCCGCAGCCCCGGGCTCCAGCCCCTCCAGCGGGGTGAGAGGGCAGCTATGGGCATAGGGGTGTGGGGGGCAGGGCCCCATTCCACTAGGCTGGGCCCATCCCTAGAATCAGTTGCATTGCCAGTGGCTGAGCCCCCCCTCCCACTTCCTGGGGGATGAAGCCCTCCCCACCAGGGAGGCTGCTGATTGGCTGGGAGGAGAGAGAAGTATTGTCCCCTCTGTGGGGTCCCAGAGCCACAGGGTTGGAGGGGAGGGCATGGACCTGGCCCCTATCCTGCCCTCTGGGCCTTGGTTGGATCTCCTTGGAGCTGAGACTGGGATCCAGTAGATGAGAGCTAGGAGGGCCCAGGAGCTGGGACACCTACCTGGGTTTACTCTTCAGCTCTGGGTGCAGGTTGGGGCTGAGTGGGGGGCAAGGTTAGTGCTGGGCTGGGAGCACGGATGCCTGGGTTCTCTCCCATCTCTGGGAAAGGCATGGAGTCTTGAGGTGGGGGAGCGTTAGAGCAAGGAGGTTAGAAGCCCAGATGCTTGGGTTCCCTCCTTGGCTCTGGGTGAGGAGTGAGGTCTGGAGCAGGGAGGGGCTGACAGCCTGGACACCTGGGTTCCATGCTCAGCACTAGCCTCCCTTGCAGGGTTGGGAGCAGGGGGAGGGCTGTGCTGTGCTGTGCCCCACCAGTGCCTGGGACCTGCTGCCAGGGCCCTGGATCTGCTGAGCCACGTGCAGGGTGGCCGCATGGATGAGCAACGCTGCCACCTGCCCGGCACCCACGCCTCAGCTGGTCCCAGCCCTGAGACCCGTGAGTCCCAGGGGTGGGGTGTGGGAATGAGGGTGGGGAGAAGGAGCTTGGTAGGGCAAAAAATTAACTTGGGGGCTTGGGGGGCAGTGGGGGCCTACCCAGATGCATTCTGGGAGGCCTTAATAGTCAGGACCCCCTGTCTAATCTCTGACCCCCCCTGCAGGGGAGAGCCCGAGCCCCCAACCCGAGATGGACTCCTTCCTGGAACTGGTGGCCAGCAGCCAGGGCCGGCGCATGGACGACCAGCGCGTCAGCTTTGCCCACCTGCCCGGCTTCCAGCCTGCCGAGCGTGGGCCCCCCACCCCCACCCCGCCCAAGGTGAGCATGGGCCATACGTGTGCCATGGCGGGGGTGCTGAGCAGGGCTGTGTTCCCTCCCCTCCAGCTTTGTGCCCCCTTGGAGTGGGAGGAGGGTGGGAGGGTCCTTTCTGCTCCCAAGGTGAGGAGAGAACCCAGTTGTTTGGCTCCCACCCCTGTGCCCACCCAGTAGGCCTTGCTGCCAAAGCAGTGTGGGGACCCAGGTGTCCTGGCTCCCAGCCCCCTTGAACCCCTGCCTCAACCTTCCAGAGAGCGAACCCAGGTGTCCTGGCTCCAGGGTCACAGCCGCCCCCAGCCCTGCTTGGTACTGCCTGGGCTGTGACCAGTTGCCAGGGTCTCTGGTGCCCAGGGTACGCTACTACTGAGCCCTTTGTGTGTCCTGGGTGCAGCTGGGACCTAGGGCAGTCACCCCTCGTGCCCCACCCCCCTAGGTAACTGGGCTTGACTGTGCCCTGGCATCAACACTGCATGCTGAGGTTAACCAGCTGGGAGCCCTCAAACCAGCTCACCCACCCCCTAACCAGGTAACCATCCCACTAACCAGTTGAGACCACAAACCAGCTCACTAGCTCCTTAACCAGCCAGGCACCCACTAACCAACTCTCTCTCTGTCTCCCTTGTGCCCATCTGGAGCTCCATTTATGTGTCCTGTCTGTTGGGGCTGGGCATGCATGTGCTTGTCACTGGGGTGGAGGGGGGTGTTGCCCAGAGCCATGTTGTGTCCTCGTGGGTTGCTCTGGGAGGCAGAAGCTAGGGCTGGGGGACAGAGCTTGAGCTGGGGACACATGCATGTATACATGCACATATATAGAGAGCACGGATCACCCAACAGGGGGCAGCAGCACACACATGCCCATGTGTACATCTGCACGCATGTAAAGACCTGACTAGTGCAGGTGTACACATGGGCATGCACCCCCCCATCCCAGCAGGGGGCAGACACGTGTGCGCGCGCGCGCACACAAACACACACACACGCACGCACTTGAGTCCAGTGCAGCCCCAGTCCAACAGGGGCAGACATGCACATGTGCACACACATGCACACGTGTGTGTGCATGCATGTGCACGTGTGCCCTAGGGTGCGGGAAGGGGCCCCTGCTCCTGCCTCCCGCAGCCCTGTCCACATGTCTCCATGTGTGCCCAGTGTGGGGAGGCCAGAGGGCAGTGCCCAGGCAGGGTCAGTGCCCAGTTTCCTCTGTCCGTCCCCCAGCTTCCCCCCATGCACACTGCCACGGACATTTCTTCCTCTTTGCAGAAGTGAGTGTTGCTGCCATTGCCTGCGTGTACATCGCACCCAATAAAGACCTGCTCTGGCCCCGCCTCTGTATCCATGTAGCGCCGGCGGGGGGCAGGGGGGCTGGGACTGAGGGCAATGGAGGGGGTCACTTGGCTAGAAACAGCCTGGGGTAGCTGCACAGGTGCATCACACATGTGTACAGACATGTACACACCTGCAAGTGAGGCAGGAGAACAGGGGTGTCACACACTTGTACACACTGGCACATAAGACAGGAACACAGGGGTGTTGTACACGTACAAACAACTGCACATGGGGTAGGAGCACAAGGATGTTGCACATGCATGCAGTCAGCATGTACACACCTACAGAGCATGTGAACACACTCACATACACACAGCATGTGAATATACACATATACATATGCTTGCACTAACCCGAGGCGCACACCACATGGATACGCCCTTACAGTCACATGACAAGCGCAGTGCCTACAGGCATGCTCTCTCTCACACACACACACACACAACCATGACCAGCACATCACATGCATGCACGCTCAGGCATTCACCCACACACTTGCTCACCCCCCTTCAGACTCTCAGCTTGGCTCAGAGTCCCTCCTCTCTGGCCAGTGGGGGTCTAACCCCTGCCTGCCCCCAAGTGTACCGATGGGGATCTGTCCCATGTGGGGGGATGTCTCCACCCCCCTCTAGGAGCTGGATGCAGAGCTTGGCCTGAGCCCCCCACCCCCAATAATCCCCTCAAGCCAGGGATGTTCTGATGCTGGGGCCTGGCCCCCAGAGACCCCTGGCCAGCTGATGGGGTGGGAGGGTCCCAGAGCAGGGTGCAGTTCTGGTGCGGTGGGGCAGGGCCATGTCAGCCTGTGGGTCGGGTAAGCTTATGGGGGTTGCATGCGGGCACATGCGTAGATGCATGATGCATACTTACATGCAGTCACACATCTGGACACAGGCACATGTATACACCAATGCACACCCATATACTGATGTGGGCACATTTGCACATACATGCGCAAATGTGCATGCATATATAAACATGTGCACATGCAGAACAACAGCTGGGGAGTGGGGTGGGGGGCTGGGGTGGCAGCAGTTATCCCTGCAATGTGCAGCCTCCAGTGCTAACAGTGCCCACCCCCTCCACTATCAGCCCTGGGTGCCCCAGGAAGCTCTGACCAGCAGTGCCAGGCCTTGGGGAGCACCTGCCCCCCCTGCCCGAGAGCAGGGACTAGGGTGGGGTTGGTGCCCATATTGCTAGCTGCCTGCCTGGGCCAGGGCCCAGGCTGGGGGAGCTGGGCCCCCCCCCAACTGAACCTGCCACCAGGAGCTGCTGACATCTGGGCACCAAGTGTATGTCTGTGTCTGTGTGGTCCAGCTCACACTGATGCCTGTGTTTCTCCTGCAGGAGGGCGAGGCCCCCGCCCACCCCAACACCGTGGCCCTCCTGGACCCTCCCATCACACCCTCTGAAGACTACTTTACCCTCATCCACCGCATCCACCAGCACCAGTTGCAGACCACTGGTGCCTGGCTCCGCAGCCCCCCTCACCTGCCTTAGTTCTTCCCACCCTCCATCAACACTCCCCAGAAGCCCCCCCACTCACCTGTGTCCCCATAATATCCCCATCAACCCAATATGCCCCTCACCCACCCCCTTCCACCCTCAATACTTTTCCTACCGTCCAGCAGCTACCCCATGAGCTCCAGGCCCTGCCCCAGTATCCACCCACCTAAACCCTGAGGTCCCACAAGTGCCCTCCCTTCACCCCAGTGATCCCAACCCCAGACTCGCCCAGGCCTCTCGCTGCAGCACCTTGGGTCTGAACTAGGGACCCTAACCCCTGGATGTGGGGGCAGATCCCCTTCCCCCAGCAGGGGCCAAAGGCCTGGCTGGGAGGTATTGAGGGTCTCTTCCCTGCACCCAAAGGCTGGAAGGTTGAGGGGGGTGGTCTCCCCTTGCCCTCTGCACGTGCCAGCACTACAATAAACTAGTCTTTGATGAAAGCAGGTGTGTGTATGTGGTGCTGGTGGGTGCGGGCATGGTGGGAGTGGTGGGGTGAGGGGACCGCCCAAGGACCAGCTTGGCAGAGGCAAGGGTAGGCAGGCTGCTCCAGCTCCTCCACAGTGTCTTGCTACAGCTCCAAGCCCCCCAGCCCCTTGGGGCTGGTACCAGTAGGGAGAGGGGCGGCAGCATTGTTAGGCTCAAGAGTGAACATGTTAACTCCCAGCTTTATTTATGGAATGGCTGGAACACAGGGGCCACTCACAGGCAGTAGAGGGTTGTTACCCACTGGGGGCCCCAAGGGAATGGGGAGCCCTATCACACCTCTGCAGCCCTGTCCCCCCCGCAGCACCCATCCAAGGGGCTGAGCCCTGCAAGCCTCTTGGGGTGTGGGGAAAGGGTGTCCCTTGGGAGCCTCATTCCCGAGGTGCCTGCAGGAGCCGCCGCTCTTCTTGCTGGTTCCGGATCTGTTCCTTGAAGGCTTCCATCTGCTGGTGCTGGTGGGGAGGAGAGAGAGCATCAAAAGGGTAATTGGCCAGGGGGGAGGGAACACGACAGTTCCCATCTGATGGAGCAGCCACCCCCGCCCTGCCGCCCCTCAACCCAAACTTCTGGGGCTGGGCATGCCCCCACCCCTGAAGCCAGTCTGGGCTTACAAAGCAGTAGGAGTAGGCTCACCTGGAGGGGGTCTTCTGGCGGGTAGATCTCTCTCTGCCGAGAAAGGGAGAAAGGGCTTATGTGCCTCTGAGCAGAGACTGGCCCGGCCAGGGTTGCACCAGCCTGTCCCCACACTGGTGCAGGGATAGGGGCAACCCCCGCCCTGGAGCCCAGGAGTCCTGCCCCCCCTCGCCCACCTTGCGCTGGATGACATACTTCTCGAAGTACTCGGCCTGGTTAGAGATCCAGAACATGGCCACGGGGAAGGACAGGTACAGCGTCATCTGCAGGGGAGGTTAGCGTGGGGCAGGGGCAGCGTACCAGACCCCAGCTCAGCGAGGGGAGCCGGGGCAGCAGCCAACAGGCCCTGGGCTCCTGGGCTGTGCAGGAGCCCATGGGCATCTCTGGGCCGTGGCCAGGCTGGGACGGGGCTGTCCCGGCGGGACACGGATCCGGTGGGCCGGGCGCACGGGGTCCCAGCTGGGCCAGGCCCGTCCGGGCCCCGCGGCCCCGACCCTGACCCAGGGGAGGCCGAGGGCGGGCAGGGCCCAGCGCGGGGGGATGATGCACCACAGACCTCAGGGGCCAGCGAAACCCCCGACCGCTGACCAGGGGGAAGCGGCCCCCGCCCGGACCCCCGGGCTCAGCCCAGGCAGCAGCATCGGCCCAGCCCCGGCGGCCCGGGCTTCATAGGTGTCTGAAAGGCCCGGGGGGAGGCAGGGACCCGGACGCCTAGGTCCCCCTGGCACGGGGAGGGCGGGGTGGAACCCAGTCGTCCCGGACCCCACCCCAGCGCGGCCGCGGCACCGACCCGTAACACCTCCAGCTTCACCCCCATGGCCGCGGCTCCACGTCCGGCGCTTCCGCCCGTCCTCTCCCCGCCCCGCGGCGGCCGCTTCCACCCTCCCGCATCCCGCAACTCCATTGGTTCGCACCTCGGCGATGGCGGCACTCATTGGCTACGGCAGCGGCGAGGCGACACCCCCGTCCCGCTGCCCAAAGGAAAGATGGCGGCCGGAAGCCCACGGCCAGCTCCTGGGGGGCGGGCTCTCGCTGCAAGCGGCCAACAGACGGGCGAAGGGCGGTGACGCGAAAGGAGGGTGACATAGACATCATCTCAGTGCGCTGCGGCCTGCTCGGGGCGAGGCGGCCTGCTCGGGGAGAGGCCGGAGCTTGGCGGGGTCGCGATGCCGGATATGGAGACGCCGGGAGCAGTGGGGCGGACCGACCTCGTCTTCGTGAGTGCGGGGTGGGGCCTGGGACCCGGGGCGTCACTTCTGGGGCGGGGTGCTCCTCGCCCGGGACACCCAGGGCCCCCTGAGCTGGGCCCCGCCCCCCCGGATGCCCTTTGACC